TGTTTTAATCTTTGTAAGAGCTGATTGACACGTCTTTTCTCTGATGGGTTCAAACTGCTGACCTTGTGGTTAGCAGCCAAGCTCTTAACTATTCAGCAGCCAGTGTTTCTTTTTGAAAATCAGGGGTCCTGTCCTTCTCTTTCTCCCTCTCCCCACTCCTTCCTGTCACATAGCAGGGCCTTGGCTGCACTTAGGGGACACTGGGACACCGAGTTCACACCGTATACCTACTAGAGCTCCCACGGAACACTCACTTCTTTAATTTTTGTTTTGGTGGTGTTGTTTTAATGTATGAGGACAAGGGTCTGCTCTCTCCCCCCCTGGTGATCTCAAGGTTTTCAGTAATCCAAGGGTGTTCCCTTCAGAAATTAGTTTCCCATTTTACTACCCAGCCTGAAGCTGGAGGCTGGGGTGGGGAGCATTCCATTCCCTCAAAACACAGTGCCCCCTCCAAGATCTCAAAGCAGGCATCCGGCTCGCCCTCCTCGTTTCCGTTCCACGTTGCTGCCCACGAATGAAAGGGTTTGGGTTCCCTGAGACGAAAAGAAGCACAATGCTGTGCTTCCACTTGCAACCCTGTGCCTCGGACGACGGTGTATTTCTGTCGCTTGGTCACACTCCCTGGGGTCCTGAACGGTTGACGTTGAAGCAATAAGTGAAATAGCTACCAGTCCTAGATTTACCTCCCCAGCTGTAAAATTGTTGTTGTGTTCCCAATAAACAAATATTAACCCGTTTGGAATGTTGCATGTTGTGGAATGCCTCATTTGGAGCTATGTTTAGTCAAAAGATAGTCAACTGTAGTTAAATTTGTTTTAACTACAGTTAAAAATGTTGCAGCTGATCCCTGCATCTTCATTCATACTCTTGTTTCTTCCTGCAGGCCCTTCAGCAGCACCCTGAAGCCACGCTACCGCTTCCCCATTCCCCTCCAGTCAATTTCCTAGACCTTTGAATTTTCTTATTTGTGTTTTCTCTTTACATATGTAGCCTCTTACTATTTTAATTTTTCAAAGTATTAGATATCGTTTTTAAAAATCAACTGGTACCATGTCAACTAGTACATAGAAAAACCAATCCATCTCTGCCACATACCACCCCAGATCTGCAGCTCCACACACACAAAAAACAAAACCACCCACTGCCACCAAGTGGATTCGGATTCATATCAACTCTGTCTAGGGTTTCCAAGGCTGTAGATCTTTATGAGAGCCGACAGCCTCATCTTGTTCCCACAGAGCAGCTCATAGGTTTGAACCTGCAACCTTGCTATTAGCAGTCTAGTATTTGCCAACTTACCCAACAGCGCCACCTGGAATCCACACATGCACCTGTCAATTCTGCTATTTCCCTGATACTTGAAGTTCTGTGTTTTTCCTCTTTTCTTTATTTTAGACCAGTGGTTCTCAACCTTCCTAATGCTGCAACCCTTTAATACAGTTCCTCGTGTTGTGGTGACCCCCGACCATAAAATTATTTTAGATGGTACTTCATTAACTGTAATTTTGCTACTGTTATGAATTGTAATATAAATATCTGATATGCAGGATGTATTTTCATTGTTACAAATTGAACATAAGTAAAGCATAATGATTAATTACAAAAGCAATATGTAATGATATATTGTGAAATATTTACTTCTAATTACAAATAAATGAAATTTTTTCTTGACGCGTGGTGCAGCATGTGTAACAGTCTTCACGCCAGGTACTTGTATGTGGGTGTATGTATCTGCATGTGGACAGACCCGCCTGGAGATGGATAGAGGAGTGGTGTCTCCGTTCCTAAGGCCATCTGAAACATGTGTTTTCCGATAGTCTTAGGCAACCTGTGTGAAAGGGTCATTCGACCCCCCAAAGGGGTCACAACGACCCACAGGTTGAGAATTGCTGTTTTAGATGTTGCTTATTGACTCCGGCTTTAAGGGATGGGTGTTTGGCTTGCTTACACACACACACACACACACACACACACACACACACGATAGCTATACCATATTTTTGTTAAATTAATATTGAATGTTTACGACAACACATTCTTTTTTATTATTATGTTTCCATTCTTTTTGAAACAACTCTTTGTTTTTCCTGTGGATGATAATGTCCTTTTCAAAAATTTATTTAGATATGCATGACAGATGGAATTTTCCCATGACCTTTTTAAGGCCTTTGTGTGTGTGTATGTGTGTGTGTGTATGTGTGTGCGTGTATGTGTGTGTGTGTGTGAGTGTGAATGTGTGTGTGTGTGTGTGTGTGTCCAAAACATCAATCAACACAATCTAGCAATTCTATTTTTTCTGTCTCCAGAGCTCTGTCTTCTGTCTAGATCGGGTATTTCTGGTCCTGCTGTCCAGCTCTGGGTCTGAAACTTCTCCAACCCATTGTTCCAACCCAAGTCCTTTCACCTGTGTGGTGTTTCCCAAATACTCCATCTTCCTCGGTTTACTCCCTTACTCAGAAGAACTACATCTTCCAGTAGTTTCCTGAGAAAGTAGGCATTACTAATTTGCATGCAGATTTGACTGACATAGAACTCTGGGCTGGTCATCATTTTCCCTTACAATTTTGAAGACAATGTTCCATTGTCTTCCAATTGCTAGTCCTACTGAAGTGCCAAGCCATACTTGGGCCCAATGTCTTCTTTCAGAGTTTTTTTTCCTTTCCTGGCGTTATACTCCTTCATAATCTTCTGATTTAGTGTGGGGCTTTATAATTAGTATTTATATTGTGTTTATTATTTATATTATCATTCTTTCACTGCCTGATGGTACCTACTTGTGGGCGTGACCTTCTCATAAGAAGGTCCTCAGAGCCGCCCCTCTCTCTGCTTTGCCTTCCTGCTGGCAAGCCTTCAGACACTATGCCAGCCCTGTGATGCTTCCACCACCATTTGATCCACAAGACTTCTTACCCACTCTAGGCGGTGATCTTCCTGCATTTTCCATCACAGCTTGTGGCTGTATGAGTCTGAAGAGGGTTTTATGGACTAGTATTGGACTTGATCTGGAATGGGTTGGGATGTTTTCCTGCTGTATAGCTACTTATTGATCTAAAGCTCTCTCTTACACACATATGAGTGTCACTGGATTTGTTGCTCTAGTCAACCCAGCCTAACACAGGGTCCAACCATCAGCCTTTCTGTGAAACAGCCAAGCACTTAACCATTGGCCACTAGATTCAAACTCCAGATCAACCTATTTATTCCTGCAGAGCAGGTTCCTATCAAACCTTCTATTACTGATTGTCCTCTTATTTTAACCTTTTTCCTCATGCGAACTATTGAGCATTCAAAGACAGTTTAAGATTAAGATCCCCCTTCTTTTTTTTCTTTCACTCAAAGCAGAAAAAGAAAACACACACACGCACACATAGCATATGTCCCAGATATTTTTGAAACGTCTGATAATCTTTAAAAAAAAAAGATTCTCTATTCTCTTTCATCCATTCATGTAACAAATAGTGAATTTTCTACTACGGTGTCATATTGACCAACAAGCAAGGTAAGCACAGCTTGCTTGTGCTTGCTTTTTAACCTATAGTGAACAATTATTTTTCACCACATGAAAGATTCTTCTTCTAAGTGTGGTTGGCATCTGTCCTCTCCCAATCCCACTGCATCTTTCTACAAAATCAAAGACTTTAAATTTACAATCCTTCACAGGGATGGAATACCCAATAAGCCAGGTATGTATGAGATCCCTTGTATTTTGCAATGAACAGTTTCACAGGGTTTTTGCTACGTTTTCAGTTTCACATGCTTCTTGCCACATCGAAAATAATGATATTACTATAAATTCATACGTAGGCACAAGTAAGCCATGCTTACCTTGCTTGGTGGGTAACCTGCCTCTGATCTGCCAAGAACTCTACTACCCTTTAGGTGTACAATGGTGAACAAAACACAAACCTTTCTTGCCCTGATGGAGTTGAAAGTCTTGTGGGGGAAATAAACAATAAACAAACCAAACAATGAATAAATATATCATTATAAGTTGCATTAAGTGCTTTGGCAAAATTGACGTGGATTCAATGATGATGAAATTCTTGTTTTACCTGGTGACCAAATGGCTGTTTACTCTGTCTGGGGAGATAACATTTGCACTAAAGCTGGGCCCTTGAGCCCATTTACCTAAATATTCAACCAAAAAATTGATAAGGTATATATACATTTTATCAGTCGGTTTATTAATCTTGTGTTTTAACCATGTCACTTCTCTTAAGTGAGTACATCCCTTTATCTTCCTGAGCCCTTGAAAACATGTCTAAACAAAGCATACATAGGTTATTTTGTAGAGAGCACGTGTTGTAGTTTCTTGGTCCTCATGGATCCTTCTTACTAATGGCCTTGCTTTGATGCCTTCCTTGGTGTTAAGGCCGCTCTGTGGAGCGTCCTTGGAGAGAGAGGCTAGCATCGGGGAGAGCTCCACTTGCAAAGGCTTCTTTTCTCGGTGTCACATCCCTCCTCTGGCCGCGGTGTGCATCGGGTCAAACTGGTGTCATTCCCAAAGCTCCCAGGATCAAGATGAGAAGACATTCTCTCCTCGGGGAGCAGGGTAGGAAGGAGGCTGCATGAATCATGGCCACAGGTGAGAAACTGGAGTTAGAGGAAGAAATGGGGCGACAGGGAAAGCAGCGAAGGAGTTTGCCGAGATGACTGGAAACCCCTTAAGAAAACCTACGGTGAGGATAGTTCCTCCCGGCCTCGTAGACAGTGGGAGAGACTGGTCATGTCCGAAGGCAGGGATCCTGCTTCCTCGGGTCCGTTACACCCCGCACAGGATGGCCAGGGAACACTGGTCAGGTCCACTTTCTTTTTAATAAACAACCATTGACTAAATTTCATTATTCGAGACAGAGAAAAATGAAACCGGGCTTTGCTCATAGCTCAGTGGAGGAGACAGACACGCCCACAACAGGGGTAACACAGCATGTTCAGCACCCTCCTGAAGTCCTTTATGAAAGACACCTGGCAGGCAAAACGCAGACTGTAATCACTGGGAGTCATGCTGCATCCCAGCCTGTTGGCTGAGAATGGATGCAGACCTCGCCTTCCTTCTGCGTCATCTCTTCAAGGCCTACAACAGTTTAGGGTGCATTGAGCTGCTCAGTAAATACGTGTTTCAAAATGTTTGGGCCTCAGATTACGGACAGACCTCACAGGGTTTTAAGCAGAAAAGAAACACAAGCATTTCTTTGGCTTAGAATTAACCCTCTGTAGCACTCAGGGTGATTGGAAGGGAAAAGACTAGAAGCAGGGAGACGTGTTAGGAGGCTACAGCAGTGGTACAGGTAAGGAATAAAGGCAGTGCTTCGACAATGGCTATCCCTGGGTGGCACAAACGGTTGGCATTTGGCAGCTAACTGAATGTTCAGTGGCCTGAATCCACCCACGGTACATGACAGAATGGCCTGGTAATCCATCCAAATTACAGCTAAGGAAACCTCTGCAGACGTTCTCTCCTTTAACACCTGGGGTCTCTGTGAGTCAGTATTGGCTTGACAACAACGGGTTTGGTTTTTGTGTTGTGAGGGTGGGGAGGTTGTTTTGTTTTATGAGCGGGGAGTCGAGGTGGGGAAGAGGAGGCGTCCTAGAGGACACCACACTTTCTACCTTGAGAAACCGAGGGTAAAGGAGGGGGTGTGGCGAGAGGCTTGAGAAGGAGTGTGATCCGAAGAAGGGACACCAGGAACCAACAGCCATGGTGGCTGAGGAGCGCAGAGAAGCAGTGTCAAGCAGCACAATGAAGCCCAGGACAAGGAGAACGAGGAGCAGCCATCACATTTAACGACCAGGATGTCACCGGGAGTGGGGGAGGACGGAGCCAGCAGAGGAGGGAAGAGAGTCCATTTGGTCTAACATGGTTTCTTAGGGCTGAGTCAGAAGGGGCAGGGAAGCCAAGACACTCTATGGTTGCCCGCCAAAGGAGCACCGCAGGGGAGGGGCTGAGGCTTCTCTTGGGGACACACCAACAAGGGTCTGGGATCCCTCCTTCAGGGGACTCTGAGGGATTGAGAGTGAGTGGGATGGGGGAAGCACCTTCCTTGAAAGAGTCCCCAAATGAGACAAACGAAGGGAAAGGAAACACCTGGCAGGCATGTGGGCATGAGAAGCTGTGGAGACGGTAGCTCCAGACCCCTCATCTACCTGCCGTCAACTCATCTGTCTTCTGTTCTCTAACTGTTCCTCGATCCCTGCAGAAGGCAGGCAGGGGGAGAGGGTCACAGAGGTTGTGGTTACCTGAGCAGAGGGGACTGGCCAGGATGGAGCGGGATCTCTGGCTGACAGGGTTCCTGACAGTGCAGCGGTAGCTGTCACTCTCCCCAGACTTCCAGGAGAAGCGGAGAGTGGTCCCTCCATGGGACACAATTGCCCCCTGGCCATGGGGATCCCAACTGTAGTGAACACTCTCTCCAGCCTGGTCCACAGAGCACAGCAGGGTGATGAAGCAGGTCCCGTCACTCCTGTTCCTGGAGCTGGCAGTGATATTGGGCTCCTGCAGCTTCTCTGTGAAGACAAAGGGAAGACTCGCTCAAGGAGAAGGCCCGCATCTGGTCAGGCAAAGAGAAGGCAAGTGTAAGTTCAACAGTAGGGCCCGCTCCCTCCCCTCACCATAGACATGCAGGGTGAAGTCCTTGATGATGCTCATTGGAGAAGTGCTCAGGGTTATCTGGGCTGTGTAGAGGCCAGAGTCCCCCAGCCTCAGGGAGCTAATCTGTAGAGAGTAACCAGGATGTGGGATGTGGAGTCGTCCGGCATAGGGCCCATGAGGCTTAGCAACCAAGACTGGTTTGCCCGCTGGTCCTGGTCGCAAGACTGCAAAAATCCCTTGAGAGCGCCACGTGACATTTTCTACCTCCTGCCCTGCCGGGATCTCCAGCGGCAGAGTGATGGACTCCCCAAGAGTGCCAATCACTGTCTCTCCCACTGTGGTTCCTGACCCTGCCAAGACAAAGAGGGAAACTACAGGTTCAGTGTCTCCCTGCCCACTGCGGGCAGCCCAGGGGCTCCTCTCCATCCACATTCTCTGTCCACTCTAGCACTGATGTGCAGGAAGAAAGCTCAGGGTTCAGGCTGACAGAGGAGGCAGGTACCTGCGCAGAAGTGCGACACCGAGACCGGGTGGGAGCTGCTGTTGCTGACTGGGTTCTTGACCGTACAGGTGAACGTCTGTGCGCGGTCTCCTGGCCTCAAGGAGACACTGAGGACAGACCCCCCATGGGACACAACGGTCCAGGGCTCCAGGGGCACCCAGCTGTAGGTCACAGGGCCCCCTCTGCTCTCTGCCACGCACGTGAGAATGAAGGTACAGTGTTGATTCTCAGCCATCATAGACCTAAGGGTGACACGGGGCCGGGCCAGCGGCTCTGTATGTGGAGAAGGGAATTCACGGAGGAGTGAGATGCCACCCTGCGCACCTCCCCTTCCTTCACCGGGCAGAAGATGTAGGCAGTGCCAGCCAGGAGCCGGTATCCTTCTGAATGCATGTGCTGAATGCAGGGCCAGCCCACATCTGTTCTAGTACCTCCACTTAATATCACATAGCTCCAGAACAGCCCAATGAAGGAGGTCAGGCTGCTGTTATCATCTACTCCGTTTCACAGGCTCAGAGAGCACCATCACTTGCCCAAGATTCAAACCCTGCTGGGTCTCACCCCAAAGCCTGGGCTCCAACCGTCTCCTGGGCAGAAAAGGGCTCTGTGTGTTCTCCGGATCAGCAGTGGTGGGACAGTAAAATTCTCTCACCTTCACAGACTCACTGCAGCCTTACCCGTTGCCTTCATACTGAACAGATTTCAGCTGAGTTTTGAAACAAAGTCAGACTGAGGGAATTCAGTGGAGGCTCAGTCTGGGTGGGGACCCTGCAAATGGATTTGGGGGCTTGCACTGTCATCCGTAGCCTTTGAAAGCAGGTACTCTGCAGCTAAGCACTAACACACTGTTCACGCCATTCGCAGAGTGAGGCTAAAAGGGGCTTGTTGTATCTTTACCAGACAAATCAGGCCTCAGACTTTCCTGCTTATTTCATAGTTTCTCCACATTAGAAAAAAAGAAAAAGCTAAATAAAACAAACAGAACAAAAAACGTTCAGGAATATGATCCTCTACATCTGGGCAGAGCATTACAAGTCCTTCCTCATGGTTTTCTTTTTCTTGCTTACCAAAAAAAAAAAAGGAGAATCCCTGGTTGCATAGTGGTTACGAGTTGGGCTAACCTCAAGGTCAGCAGTTTGAAACCACCAGCTGATTTTCAGGAGAAAGATAAGGCTTTCTACTCCCATAAAGAGTTACAGTTTCAGAAACCCACAGGGGCAGTTCTACCCTGTCCTATCGGGTCCCTGTGAGTTTGAATCAACACGAGACAGTGAGTTTGGGTTTGGGGGAGTTTTTCACAAGAAGGTGGTATCCCTATGGTAACAGTGAAGAAGTTCCAAGATCACACACGTAGATTGTGGTGAAACCCAGTACTGGGAGCCTGAAATCTCATTCTCTATGCATTACAAAGCCCTGGCTCTGCTTCACTTGGTCAGGGACAGGCACTTGACCTTGAACATTTTCAGGACATCTCCAGGTGATTCTGATTTACAGTGAGCACGCAAGAGAGCCTGAACAAGTACATGGACACAGGGAATCAAAAGACCATGGAATTTTCCCAAGGATTTTTTGAAGTCCCCTCCCAGATGCATATCACTCTTGTAAGCAGAAAGAAAGTGGCAATTGTTGCATAAAAGTGATAAACACTGTAAACATGACTGAAAGACTGACATCTGTCTCCCACTTCCCACCCAGGACTCTCACCAAAGACTCGCAGACTGTACTCCTGGATGTGTGTGATGAGGGAGCCCCTCAGGTTAACGTGGGCACGATAGGCACCTGCATCGTCCTTGCTCAGGTTGCTGATCCGTAGAGAGTGGCCCGGGCCCACGACACTCACTCGGCCCTGGTACCGAGTTTCTGCCTGGTGAAAGACGTCTGGTCGTCCTGCTTCTATCAGGGTGACCTCCGCGAGGGCCACAGGGATGGAGCGGGTGGTCCAGGAGATGCTCTCCACCTGCTGTCCTGCTGGCCACTGCAGAGGCAGAGTGACGGATCCCCCTACGGTGCCAGTTACCACCACCCTGGTGGAGGCCTCCATCGGAGCTCCTCGCCCTGCAGCAACAGAATAGGGGGCGGGGAGGGGGGCAGCCTGACCAAGCCAAAGGGTTGCAACTTACCTGAGAGCTAGTCAGGTAAGGGATTGTCATCCTCATTTTATATGGGAAAGTCAGAGACCAATGAATTTAAAATCGCAGCTAGAACACAAGCCAGCGTCCTTTCCTTCATAGCAGATTACTGCTAAGTACTTACATTAATTAATAGACAATTACATGAATGATGCCCTAAGGGTGGCAGGTGTTAGCAACTCTGTAGAACCCTGTAGAACTTCCCTTGTGAGTTTCTGAGACTATAATTCTTCACAGAAGTAGGAAAGTCCCCGTCTTTCTCCCACAGAGTGGCTGGTGGTTTTGAACTGCTGACCTTGTAGTTAGCACTCCAACCCATAACCACTACACCACCAGGGCTCCTGAGGAACTTGTGAAACATCCAGGGGATTGGATAGCTTGCTAATGTTGTAAATGGAACCCTTGTAGGGGCAGGATCTTGCAAATAAGGTGTATGAAGCGCTAACAGGGATTGGTCAGTTTTGCCATCCTGCTAGACTTAAAATGAGCACCCCTGAAGCAGAGAAAGGAGATTTTATGATCACCAAGGAGAAGTGACAGAAGTGGAGTGCTGACCCAAGATCCCTACACTGACAACCTCCATGACCCAGGATGTAGAGAACGCTAACATCAGAGATGATGAGAGACAGTAAGAAGAAGTGGCAATGAAATGATGGCGGCAGTACCAAGAAACAGGCAGGAGATAATGCTTTGAGTTTCCCAGTCTACAGTGCAGGAAAACTGAGCACTTTGGGGCAGGAGAATTGCTGGCAGCGTGGAGTGCCCCCGAGAGACTGCAGGTTGGCCAACTCATAGAGCAAGCACTGAGTGCCAAATCCGACGGTTGAAGAGTGGAGTGCCCCAGCCACTTGTTGGCGAAGGTAAAAGAGCTTTGCACACTTGCCTGAACAGGGCAGAGGCCAGGCTAGGGGTCTGAGAACCAGAGCATAGGCATGACTGAAAAGAGGTTATCCTGTTAACATTGTTCCTATCCTAAGTGTTCCTGAACCTGAATAACGTGTTACTTCCCTAATAAACCTTGCCACTGTGAGCATGGTCTGTGAGTTCTGTTTAGTGAATGCAATAAATGCTCAAATCCGGCAGAGTATGGATTTCCATAGAAAGGACAGTTTGCATCAGAACTGGTCAAAAGGTTACAGAGTAGAGACATGTCTGACCTCCACCTCACAGGGCTCAGCCAGAGGCTATTCATCCTGACAATGGCTCTCTCTTCCCCTCCTAAAGGTAGAAAAGGTCAAGGCCAATTGTGCATTCTTACAGAGGGCAACTTTACATGTTATTACAGGGAAAGTGGTAACCTGGGGGACATATTGTAAACCACATGGGAAATTAGTCCAGGTTAGGGGCAGTGGAGCCAGTGCCAACCTTCCTTGTTTAAATCCTTTCTCTGCATTTAAGAAAGGAGAAAGAGACACAAGAAAATAAAACACAGGCATACATCCTAAATGCCCGCTATTATGCCAAGTACTATATGCATATTATCTCAATGACCTCTCCTAAGAAACTTTCAAAGTGAATATTATTATTCCCACTTTACAGATGAAGAGCATGAAACTCAAAGAAGTTAAGAAATGTGCTCAGAGAACCAGGTCTCCCTCATCCCAAAGCCCAGGATCTGCATCCTGAGATAGGGGATTGGCACACTTAATTCCTCCCTGTCTCCCGCTGTCTCTCCCCAGGCACAGACCTGGCGCACAGAAGGCACCCCAGATGTCTCTAGAATTGAACTGAGGAATGTGTACTCTTATTTTTAAGTACTCTAGAATTTTTTTCTAAAGTACTCTAGAATGGAACTGAGCAATGTGTATTTTTTTTCCCTAAATCTTGCCTTTTTAAAGGAAAGATTTATCTTGCTCATTCTTTCACTGAAAGCCCAAGTTTCCTCTGTAGGCAGTGGCCACAAAGGGCCCCTCTGGGTACCACAGGACCGGAAAGCTGCTTGCTTGTCTGTTCCCTGGGAGAGAAAAAGGCAGAGGAAAGAGAAGCATTACAGGAACCCAGCCTCTTGGTTTCCGCTCTATAACTTTGGGCCGATACTGTGGTTCTCTGAAACTTCCCTTGTTACTGTTGCCTTCCCCTCATGGGGCTGCACCAGCGTTTGGTTTCAGAGATTGTTGGTCATGTACCTAGAAGATGCTACCTGTCCTCTGAGTTTACACCTACCATCTGTAAAATGTCAGTGATACCATCTGCCTTATCTGTACCGTAGATTGTTGCGAGGATGTTCTGTTTTGTTTTTTAATCTATATAAAAATTTGTTTTATAAAGTGCCAAGTTTTAAGTGTATGTAAGCATTCTATCAAGGGTCCTCGGTGACATAGTGGGATATGCGTTAGGCTGCGAACTGGAGGGTCAGCAATTCTAATCCACCAGCCATTCTGTGGGAACGGTTGTTCCTATAAAGATAAACAACCTTAGAAATCCTGGCAAGCAGTTCTTACAGGGTGACTGTGAGTCATGGTTGAGAAGGGTTCCATTGGTATGTTAAGGAGACCGTCTCAAGACTGCAGTAAGGATATTGATTAGAGTTAGATGATGCTGATAGTCAAGGCTGGTTGGCTTCCCCCATAAAGGAGAATGAAAGTGAAAGTTTAAAATTCTAGAATCTAACTCAGGAGACATCAAGGTCAATTGGCATAAAATATTCCACACAAACAAGGTTCCACATCTTACTTTGGTGAGTAGCTACTGGGGGCTTCCAAGCTTGTGAGTAGCCATCTAAGGTGCCCCTCTGTCTATTGGTCTCTCTCCATCTTGAGCAAAGAGAAGTGAAGAAAATCAAAGACACATGGAAACAATTAGAGCAAAGGACTATGGGCCACATGAACCCCAGCCTCCATGACCCTGAAATCAGAAAAAACTAGACTACCACTATCAACCACTCCAAAAGAGATCACATTAAAAGTCTTGGATAGAGTGAGAGCAAAAGGTGGGACAAAACTCAAAAACTTAGAAAACGAAAGCGCCATGCTCACTCAGATAGAAACTGGGGACACCCTTGAGACTATGACCCTTGGTCAACCTTCAGGGCTGGAACTAAAACCAACCCTGCTGCTCAATTTTCAGCCAAGCAATAGTCAGATCTATAAGGTGAACAATAACACAAGGGAAGCACACACTCTTTAATCAATGATTGAGAACAGAAGAACATAATTAGCTCAAGAGAAATGTTCAGAAGGCAGGGAAGATTAAATAAGAAGGAGGACTGGAAGTGGAAAACGCACAGCATTCGCAAAATTGGACCTGAAACAAGATGTGTGTTGACATTTTCAAAAGGTTAACTCTTTCTATCCATGAGCATGGTATATTCCTCTATCTATGTAGGTCTCTTCTGGTTTCTTTTCTGTTCTTTTTTGAGGGATTGCACAGTTTATTTTCAAACATAGAGGGCGAGGGAGTTCCATCAACACCGCCCCCCCTCCCCCTCTTCTGGTTTCTTATAGTAGTGTTTTTATGTATGGGTCTATGTATGGGTCTTTTGTTTATCTGGTTATATATATTCCTGTTCCTAAGTATTTTCATCTTTTGAGTAGCTATTGTAAATGATATTGTTTTCCTGATATCCTTTTCAGAGCTTTCTTTATTAGTATAAAGGAATCCAACTTTTTGAATATTGACCTTGTTCCCTGCCACTTTGTTGAATCTTTACATTAATTTTCTTGCTTTGTCTTTGGGATATTCTGTGTATAGGATCACATAATTTGCAAATTTAGAGAATTCCTTTTTTTTGTTGTCAGTTTGGATGCCTTTAATTTCCTCCTTCTTCCCCAGTAGCTCTAGTGAAGACTTCCAGCACAATATTGGGTAGGATTGATGATAAAGAGCATCCTTCCCTGGTTCCTGTTTGCCAGAGGAATGATTTTAGTTTCTCTCCATTGAGAGTAATGTTGGCTGCTGGCTTGGCATATATGCCCTCTATTATCTTCAAGAATTTCCCTTCTATTCCTATTTTGTTGAATGTTTTTATTAATAATTCTAGCAAAGGCCTTTTCTGCATCAACTGGTATAATAAAATATTTCTTTTCCTTTGTTATATGTATGTGATGGATTACATTGATAGTTTTTCTAATGTTGAACCACCCTTGCATATTTCAGGATCATCAAAAAAGAGAATGACCTTTAATGGGATGGATTGACACCAAGGCTGTCTGTCACAAGAGGCTTAAGCATAACAATTGTAAGGATGGCACAGGACCAGGAGATGCCCAAGCATCTGTTGTACAGAGTTGTTATCAGTCAGAGTTGACTCTTTGCAGATGGCAAACAACAACTGGTTTCTTTATTTTACATTTCACATGCTTTTCTGTGTTAAATTCATTTTATTCATGTATTTACTTGTCATTCTCCACCATTGATTTTTTTTAGTGTTTAACAAATTATTATGATTTTCTTTTTCCTTTTTATTGTGAATTAGGTGGGGTGGGGTTACATATCAGATAATCATTTTTGCATTCAACAGCTTAAACAACTTATTAAACTACATAATGACTTTCCCTGTCTCTGACTCCCCACCCACCGTCACTCAAGTTAACATCTGTCCACCTTCTAACCCATTACTTCTCCTTCTCTACCTTGTCTTGACAGACTTAGTTACCTTCAAAGTAGTGGGCCTCTCACTTCCTGATCTCAAGACTTATGACACAGCCATGGTAGACAAAACAACAATGGATACATAGAACAATGGAACAAAACTAAGAACTCAAAAGTTCTCATCCATCCACCTGATCAGGCAACTGATCTTTGACAAAGAGCCTAAACACATTAAATGATCAAGAGAAACCTCTGTAGCAAATGGTGCTGACAAAACTGGCTATCCATTTGCAGAAGAATGAAACAGGATCCATATCTTATACCATATTTTAAAAATGATCTTAAGATGAATCAAAGGTTTAAATTCAAAACTTAGAGCTAT